ATCCTATTATTTTGTTAATAATTGATAACAATCCTATTATTTTGTTAATAATTTTATTACTTTAGGACCGCATTTGTTTGATTTTCAAGATGATCCATATATTGGACAGATATTTTTTATTTTTCTGAATTCACAGAGTTTGAGTCAACATTTATAATTTGTTTAATAACCTTAGGGAAACCAAAATGATGTAGTTTATTTGTGAATTGATTGAACAGCGCTACCTAACGTTACTATTTAAAACACAAGTTGATGGTCAAACAATGATATCTTACGTTTTACTTATCCTATTACCAACATGTGTTGATTTCTTTCCTGGTGATATATCAATACCAGTACGTAATGAGAGACCAGTTTTACCCGTGGGACATGCGGACCCCATCGCCCGAAACTGAATCCAGCTTTCTAACAGGACAGATCTCTCTCCGGCTTATAAGCCTAAAGGTAAACTTCAACTCTTTCATATTACATTGCCATTCGGGCGTGCCGTTAAAGCCAGTTCTTGGCTTAGATTGGACATGAGTAAGTTTATGCTTAAATTTCTTTTCTTAGCTTGTATTCGTAGTGACTCTTAAAGTTCACGGAATATTCCTGTGTATGGCATGTTCACATTTCCTGCTCGGTTAGTCGAACGTCATTAAACAAGAACGAAAACTTTTTGTAATTATCTTAACCATGCGAAACTGGTATTTCTTTCTATACAGAGCTAAGCCTAGAAGTGAATCATACAGTTTGGATCAAACACTAACATAATGATACCTATATCTCTATCAAGTAATCCACGTGTTTCTATTAGTTCAGATGTAAGCTTTAAAAAAAAACTAGTCTAAAGTGTACGTATAGCCGCCATGTTTATCCTTAAACGGTCATTTACTCGATAATAACACTGTTTATCGTAAGTTTTTAAAAAACGAGTTTTAAGTGTACGTAGAGCCGCCATGTTTATCCTTAAACTGTCATTTACTCGATAAATAACACTGTTTGTCGTAAGTTCTTAAAAAACGAGTTCTAAGTGTACGTAGAGCCGCCATGTTTATCCTTAAACTGTCATTTATTCGATAAAGAACACTGTTTATCGTAAGTTTTTAAAAAAACAGTTAAAAAAGGTTAGTGTGTAATTTTCTGCAATATAAAATATTTTTTTGCAAATTTTTAGTTTAAAAATTGTAAAAAAAATACATTTGTCGGCCATATTGATTGTTCAAAGATATATTTACTGCTTGAATATTTGTTCTCATGTTTGTGACGAAATAACTATAGTTAGTACTTAATATTTGTTTAAACTATGTTTTGAAGAATTTACGTGTTTTCCAGGTTCTTTTTACATTTTAAAAATACACAGACAATTAACTTAATAATTTATTTGGAGAATCATTTCAGCCTGTAAGTCCAGATAGTGTTTATCATTCTTGGATCTATAGCTAAGTATTCGTTAAAGTTAGCCAGTAAAATTAGAATTATACCATACAGTAATGAAAACTTGTTCTACAGTACAGGTCTTATATCAGATACGCAGCTGTATAACTATAAAACACTAACCATTGTACAACGATACTCTCCATGGTCGCTTTTTTTTTGTTTATTTATTATCTAGTCTAGCTGTGGAACAAACGATGTATTTTTGTTTATTTATTATCCAGTCTAGCTATGGAACAAACGATGTATTTTTGTTTATTTATTATCCAGTCTAGCTGTAGAACAAACGGTGTATTTTTGTTTATTTATTATCCAGTCTAGCTGTGGAACAAACGATGTATTTTTGTTTATTTATTATCCAGTCTAGCTGTGGAACAAACGATGTATTTTTGTTTATTTATTATCCAGTCTAGCTGTGGAACAAACGATGTATTTTTGTTTATTTATTATCCAGTCTAGCTATGGAACAAACGATGTATTTCTGTTTATTTATCATCCAGTCTAGTTGTAGAACAAACGATATATTTTTGTTTATTTATTATCCAGTCTAGCTGTGGAACAAACGATGTTTTTGTGGCTATCGTCATAGGATTTTTAACAGGCCTTAGGGTAAGTACGGAAATATAGACAGTTAAATAGATAAATAAATGGGAAGGAGAGACAGATTTAGATAGACAGAGAAAACACAGTCCAATGTACAGATGGACAGACATATATATATATAATTTAGTTTAAATAAAATTTGTAGACAATGTATACATTTTAAACAGAGAGTACTTTTTCAATGTTTCTCTAATCAAGTGTAGACAAATATTTGAATAAAGCTGGCAACGTTAACGGAAATTTGTGAATATTTTAATCAAATTAAGCCTGGTTAGTGACTTTTTAACGGGATTTTGTGAATTTTTTGGTTAAACTTGGCCTGATTAGTGACCATTTTAACGAAACTTTGTGAATATTCTGATTGAATCAGGCCTGATTAATGAAAATTTTAACGGAAGTTTGTGAATATTCTGGTTAAATTAGGCCTGATTAGTGATTTTTAACGGAAGTTTATGAAATTCTGGATTAAATTAGGCCTAATTAGAACAGTGTTAACAGAAATTTGTGAATATTCTTGTTGAATTAGGGCTGATTAATGGCAATGTTAACGGAAGTTTGTGAATATTCTTGTTGAATTAGGCCTGATTAATGGCAATGTTAACGGAAGTTTGTGAATATTCTAGTTAAATTAGGCCTGATTAATGGCAATGTTAACGGAAGTTTGTGAATATTCTAGTTAAATCAGGCCTGATTTACACATTATCTTTACTTGTATAACAGAGGCGTGTTATTTAGTAAATAAATACTATTTATTTTAATGTGAAATTTTTAAAAGTACTTATTGTGTGCTTTTATATATTTTTTTAGCTGTATACCCTTCTTTGTGCATTTTCTTATTACAAAATTACCAAACACAGTGATGCCAAACCCATAACAACTAGTAAGTATCCAGTCATCATTTTTATAAATTTTCAATCAACTAATAGGATCAATAATTTATGTAAGCTCAAATATCGTTTTTTTAATTGTAAAATAACAATAAATGATACCTTACTTGCTTTTTTTGTTTTGTTTTTTATTTTCCGACTAATCAAAATAACTACTCTCTATATGGTTTCTATAGAAACGTGCGTTATATTTAGTGGTCAGAGCTTTAAACTTCATTATATTTGTACAACACATAACTGACAAATAGAAAAAAAAGTAAACTATATTTGTCTCTAACCCACTTGGAGCAAGTACGACATTTCGTATGTTTTGTACGTTTCGAAACGCCTTACTTCCATGTGAGTGCCCGGCATGGCCAGATGATTAGGGCGTTCGACTCGCAATCTGCGGTTCGCGGGTTCGAATCCCCGTCACCCCAAACATACTCGCCCTTTCAGCCTTGGGGGTGTTATAATGTGACGGTCAATCTCGCTATTCGTTGGTAAAAGAGTAGCCCAAGAGTTGGTGGAGGGTGGTGATAACTAGTTGCCTTCTATCTAGTCTTACACCCGTAAAACCGGAGCATTAGATAACAATGTTTCGCCTGTAAAACTGGAGCATTAAATAACAATTTTTCGCCTGAAAACTGGAGCATTAGATAACAACGTTTCGCCTGAAAATTGGAGCATTAGATAACAATGTTTCACCTGTAAAACTGGAGCATTAGATAACAATGTTTCGCCTGAAAACTGGAGCATTAGATAACAATGTTTCACCTGTAAAACTGGAGCATTAGATAACAATGTTTCACCTGAAAACTGGAGCATTATATAACAATGTTTCGCCTGTAAAACTGGAGCATTATATAACAATGTTTCACCTGAAAACTGGAACATTATATAACAAGCAGTGATTTTTTATTTTATTTTTTCCAACAGGCAGTTACTCCGAAAGTGTGCAAAAGTTTGGCGGATTGGGAACAACACGCAGACAACGTAGAATGGAAATTGGTCAGTCTAGTTTCGATCGAATGAGTGACATATACGATTACATCCCTAGGCCAAAGCTTGGAGTGAATACGTGAGTTTTTGATTGTATTTTAATATTTACACTGGGGCTTTATATCGTATATAGAAGCTTAACTGAGAGAAACATAACTGACGTCACGGATTTTAAGTTCTTCGCAGTTCTGATGCATAACAGTTTTAAAAGACCTCTGACAAGAGCGATTTATATCGTCTCGTAGTACAAACACCCTGCAGAATGTGTGGGGTGTTGAAAACACGCACAGGTGAGACTGAAAAAAAAATGTTTGTCTTGTAAAGTCAAAAATCATTAATTCTAAGAACGTATGAATGGATTTGTCGACAACACAGTGTTTGTTATATACAGTGCCGAAGAGGCCTTTAGATTAATACCAATTGTTTTTCTTTATCAACCCACCCTCATAAAGGGGGAGGGGGGTATAATACAAAAATACATCAGTGGTTCAACACATCTCGTGAAAATGTCGTTATAAATCTGGATAGTAATAAAAAAATAGTTAAGGTTAATTACGTAGTTCAACACATCTCGTGAAAATGTCTTTACAAATCTGGATAGTAATAAAAAAATAATTAAGATTACTTAAATTCCATACACAGAAAATTAGTAATAACAAACAAAAATTTTAAAAATGTCCGCGATAAATACATACCAAATCACGATATAGGATGTAACCCTGAACACCTTTACTTACCAAATGTCCGCGATAAATACATACCAAATTACGACATAGGATGTAACCCTGAACACCTTTACTTACCAAATGTCCGCTATAAATACATACCAAATCACGACATAGGATGTAACCCTCAACACCTTTACTTACCAAATGTCCGCGATAAATACTATAAAAATCTGACAATTTGTCTCGTAACCGAAACCGTAAGAAAATCAAAATAAATGTTAGCTTTAAGTTGAGCTTTAAAGATATTCACAAAATGAATCCCAGTGCTCATCAGGCCGACAGACACAGTAATGGTTAAAACGACGTTTATATTATCAAATTGCATGGAGAACAACCGTTATGATGGGAACTGAACTAAGTTTGTGAATTTTGATAAATTTTATATGAGTCATTTAGAAATCAGAATACACAACATTATTTATTCTATTTTAACACCAATTATTTATTGTCGTTACTTTATCAACTTTACTCGTCATTCAGAAAAACTGTTCAAGCTAGTCTTATTTTTCCCGAAACGTGTCAGGACAAGCTAGTCTTATTTTTCCCGAAACGTGTCAGGACAAGCTAGTCTTATTCTTCCCGAACGTGTCAAGACAAGCTAGTCTTATTCTTCCCGGAACGTGTCAAGACAAGCTAGTCTTATTCTTCCCGGAACGTGTCAAGACAAACTAGTCTTATTCTTCCCGAAACGTGTCAGGACAAGCTAGTCTTATTCTTCCCGGAACGTGTCAAGACAAGCTAGACTTATTCTTCCCGGAACGTGTCAGGACAAGCTAGTCTTATTCTTCCTGGAACGTGTCAAGATAAGCTATTCTTATTCTTTCCGAAACGTGTCAAGACAAACTAGTCTTATTTTTCCCGAAACGTGTC